CCCCCAACAGCATAAACTCACCTGGGATGCAAGGACCCCCGCGGAGGTCCTCCGGCTAGCATCCATGTCCTGACTCCCATTGCCACTGCGATGATTCTGATGATGATGATGATGATGGTGATGATAGTCCACAGTAGCGGGTTCACCTAAAAACACAGACCGCCGGGGTTAAAATAGAGCGGAACGCGCAAGATCTAGATGCTATTATGGTCCACTTCACCACATGCTGCACATCTCATCTGTCTAAATGATATATAAATGGGAAAAAAAATTGCCAAATAGTCTATTAGCACCGTGAGGAGAATTCTATATGGAGACATGGACTCAAATGAAGCATGGCGGCCCCCCTCTATACCCCACTTGAGGATGACAGGGGGAGGGAAAAAAAGAAGAAGGGGGTGGGGGCTAAACTGTGTGATTAGTCTATGAGAGAAACCTTTTTTTTTTTTTTTGTAGAAAAAAGCAAGTTGTAATGCATATTAAATGAATCATATTACATAGAGAATTGTGAATTTCTTTATATAATAGGTCTGATTTTGATTATCTTTAAATGCATTAACACTGAACGTTTGGTTACTAATATTCAGTAAAATTCAGTCCATTTAGCAATTTCTGCTTTTTCATCATGGTATCACACTAATTTTAACATATAAAGATGTTTTTCAGCTGACAAACATAATTGTGTAAAAATTCTATTTTATTTATAAGGTTTGCTTGAATACAATTTACACATTTCAACTTATTCTGTTATTTTTATTTTTTTATTTTTTTTAATTAACAGGCCTTATTTATGGTTGTTTCATTTTCATGCAAAATTGTACTCTTATTATAATTCCCTTATAATTAGCTTGTGTCTCAATTTACAGAATATTATTTTAATCAATAAAACACAGGGTCACAATTTAAAAACAACAAAATAACAAAATAAAACAGATTTTTTTCAGAAAATTTTTTTTTTAAATTAAAAAAGCAAAACAAAAAGTAATTTTTAAGAATATAAACATTATTATATTATCCTATCAGTTTTTCTGTCATTTCATGCAAAAATGACACCTCAAAAAAAATAAATAAATAAATAACCCACTGAATTCTAGTCTACGTACCTACCCAAATAGCTTTCTCTATTTTACACCGTTCATTCACAAAATGAGAAAAACACAATCAGCTCTCAATGCTGAAATCCACAAGTCTCGAAACCCAACAGAGAGAAAAAGAAGGCAGCACAAGAAACTGGAGGAGAACCTAACGGAGGCAGATGGAGAGGGAGAAGCTGGACTCGAGCACAAACGCAACAAAAGCCAGCGTACGGGCACACACCGGCAGTGTAGCAGCCAGCTGCTCGCTCGCTCTCCAGACCCCCAGCCTGCAAAACCATCAGACGCACCTCACACACACACACACACACACACACACACACACACACAGCCACCCTGACGCAGGGCACACTCCCCCAGTGCTATAGCCCCAGGGCTTTCACTCTCTCTGTCCATTTCTGGAGCTACACAAACACATACACACACTCACAGACACAACCCCTCTTCCAAATCCCCCCAGAACTCCAGGAGTTAATCAATGGCCTCCATGCATGGATTTTTTTTTTTTGTTTGTCTTTGCCAAAGTTCCTCTGGGTCCATCCCTTTCTTTTCCTCTTGAATTATATATATATATATATATATATATTCCTACAATTTTTTTTTATTCTATTTTTATTCTTCATGCAAGAACCCATTCACTCTCTCACTTTTTATATTTACATTTTTTTTTAAAGAATGGGATTTTTTAAAAACAGTTTAGAGCCAAAAAAAAAAGAACATATCTGTGTTCTCAACCTCTCTCCACTCCTCCCTTTCTCCAGAAGCGAACTGCACTAGTCCACCCCACACTAAAAGAAAAAAAAACACACACTTCGAGCTGGACCCTTTACTGATTGCGATTTAATTGAATGGAGCCCATGAATATGGTAATTTCATGAGACACTTGACACGAGCATCAGGAGGTGTGGTGGACCACACCGGCAAAAATGGCCAAAAACAACGACACACACTATTGAAACAACTGACAAAAAACAGTAAATATATTTGAAAAAAAAAGGATGAAAAAGAGCTGGACCGATGTCCACATGTGGATGCGACTTACCCCGTCAAACCTTCAGCATCTCATCATGCCGCCCGTTTCAGCAAGGTGGGATGCCCAATCGTGATAAACCCAGGACGGTACGGCGATGTTAGAGAGAGCCAGGCGACCAGTCCCGTGGTGTGCAGGTGGATGCGGTACACATCGCAGAGGGGACGCTTGACAAAAGGATCAAAACCCAATGCCCACTCCCGAGCCAGTTGTTGCTTGACACAGCAAATGAACTTACAGCACAAGAGCGAGTGAAGCTGAGGGAGGGAGAGACAGACAGAGAGAGAGAGAGGCAGAGGAGGAGAGAGAGAGTGTTTGAAGAGTGTGTGTGTGTGTGTGTGTGTGTGTGTGTGTGTGTAATGAATGAGAGAGAGAGGAGGAGGTGGGGGTAGAAGGGGGTTCGGAGTGAGCGGGCGAGCGAGGGAGAGAGAGAGAAACCACAGCATAACAAAACCTATAGCTACGTGGACGGCCACTTTCTCTCTCCCTCTCTTTCTCTCTCTATCTCTCTCCACCCTCTCTGGCTCAAGGAAGGGAGAGAATAATTAGATTTGAGCCACACATGCTTTCCAAAAGCACTGACTCGTGGATCCCAGGCACCTAATGTTGGATTAATTGAGGGAGATCTGATGTGCTACATGCACCGTGAGCCCTCGGCTTTGACTCCCCCCTTTTCCTCCTCCTCCTCCTACTCCTCCTCACGACGCCAAAAAACTACCACCATGATACGACTCCCTGCTCCTCTCTCCCAGCATATGGTGACTGACATGGCACTGTAGGCACAGAGAAAATAAATAATAGATTGTTTATTTAATTGTGAACACATACAGACATTTATTAGGCTGGATTTGTGCTTCTGTCAGAGTGGAAAACAGTCAGTATCCATCCGTGAGCCCTCAGCTCTGCCCCCCCCACCCCCCAAATCTCCTCACAACGCCCAAAAACCACCATCGTGATACGACTCCCTGCTCCTCTCTCCCAGCATATGGTGACTGACACGGCACTGTAGGCACAGAGAAAATAAATAATAGATTGTTTATTTAATTGTGAACACATACAGACATTTATTAGGCTGGATTTGTGCTTCTGTCAGAGTGGAAAACAGTCAGTATCCATCTTAGAAAGTGTTGAGAATGCCAGCAGGAAAGGAAAAATGTGAGTTTTTGGGCTTAAAAACAACAAATGCATCCAATTTCACTTTTTGAGCATGACATTTCCGATTAAAAAACCTAAAATGATTAAAAATAGGCTTTCTTCGAGATAGATGGGAATAATGAACCTATATGACATAATTTTATCATAATATAGCATATATAGATCTATACAGAACTATTCTTTACAATCATGCCTATAAATATTCCTTACAGTTAGGATTTGGAAGATTTTCTACACATTTTTGACTGTGAATAATCAAAAACATGCAGAAATGGTGAAAATTTTTGGTTAATATTAAGGAAAAATGTTTTATTGTATCAAATGAAGCAAATGATTCCATTCAGTGTGTGTGTGTGTGTGTGTGTGTGTGTGTGTATTTAATAAACAAATACACACACACACAAATGTGTGTATATATATTTATATACATATAGATATACATATACACACACACACATGCACACACAAATGTGTGTGTGAACAAATACATATAGCTATACACACACACACACACACACTATATATATATATATATATATATATCTATCTAATCTGAAGATCAAATCAGAATATTTATTGTAAAAATGTTTCTGTAACTGCTGCCAAAAATAATCTACATTGTAAATTATTTGGCCGTAAATTTACTGGCTACTAGTTGCATTACTTTCACAGTACATTACTGTATGTAAATATATTTATAGCTCCACTGTGATTTGTGATATATTTTCAAGGGGGAAAAATATATAATTTTTTTTCAAAACATCCACCCCTCTGGTTTGTTCACAAATCGCACCCTGCACACACACACATACACACATACATATACATACACTTGACTACACCGCAACAATTCGCTACCATTTCCACTTCAACATCATAAAAATCACATCAATAATATCAATATGACATTCAATATTCAAGGTAAATGGCAAAAGAAAGCAGCTCTGGTAACTGGCTTTTAACAGGCCAGAAGACAAAGAAATCAGACATGTTGAATTTCACGCCATGGAAAGCGGTGTACTGCCCCCTGTTGACCATTCCGTCACGGTCCAAACAGGAAGGCCCAGACAGCTGGACCACATTGCGACGACACACGGTGCAATTACTGCAGGAAATACACAATTCTTTATCAAGCTATAGTCATCTAATTAACATTAGGCATGAAACAAAGCAAATCGGCAAAAATGGAGAAGAAATGGAGGGATGAGAGCCGGAGGAAGAGGGGGAGGAGAGGCGCTCTTGTTCTCTCTCTCTCAAGGAGAGGTGAGAATTCCTTACAAAAGCCTGGATGATTCTGTTTTCGGCCCTTCAGGGCCAGATGAGCTCAGCACAAAGACGTATGGCAGATGAAAAACTCATCCGCTTTTCTCTTTTACTTTTTAGCGTCCCCTCATTCGGCTCTTTATTGACACAAAGTAGCAATTAAGGTGAGAGTGTTATGGAGGGAGAGAAGAGGCCTTGTCTGCTAACACCCTATGTTTGCTCACGCCGAAGTAATTGAAATCGACTTTCAGAAGAGAACGAGATACATTAATTGACATCTACAATAAAGACTCCGCCTCTCTCTGTATGTTATTTTGATCAACTCACCCCCGTTTCAGGTTACAAACTAATAAACAGAAGGTAAAAACACATTGTGATCCGATGTTCCCTGTGGATTGTTTTAGAACACGTATGTAATGGCCGGCTATTAGTGTGCTATTTTTTCCCACGCCACCCAGCGTGGACACATTAGTTCATTAGCAGCTGTTTCACTGCTGTAAATATCTTCACCCAGGTGAAAAAACTATTTAATTTAAATTTGATGCGCTGAGTTTATTTGCCCGGTGGCTCGTGCGAGCTGAAGAGAGAGATATTCACCTATCCTTGCAATAAACAACACCCCCACCCCCCCAACCTCGCCTGCCTGGCTGTATTTCAATTCAACAAGCTTATAAACACACATACGCTAGCGCACACGAGTACGCGGGCATCCGGCAAATAGAATTCCTTCAAACGTACGTGGGTTGAAACACACTCCAGGGATAGAGAGAGGAGAGGTGCAGGGAGCAAAGGCCAGGCGCGGAGCTCCCTGTATCCAAATGGCATTACTCACTCTGAGATGTATTATTAAAGAAAGAAGTACCGCAGGCCATGGCTGACAGACCGTGCAACAGTAAACAAGAAAAAACAGCAGCGTTTGACAGCTAAAACACCATGCTTTCATTCTCACACTGATACCGACAACACAGAGATGTGTTCAAATGAGATGCCTCATGTACGTACCTGCATGTGGTTGGGGTAAAAAGTAACTATGACACTCTATTTTAAATGTTTTATGGGGTTGAGATGACTTTTGATATTCGATTTGTGCTTTTTTTCTTTTGTGTTAGTGCACTGGTGATCCATAGGAAAGGGGGAAAAAGATATCTTCAATATGTCAACTGTTTCTCCTAGCTTTGAGGTTAAATGGAGAAATTTGCGGATCTTTCTTCTGAGAAAAAGACCTTTTCTGGAGGTTCAGAAGAAATCTCAACTATGTCTCAAACTTGCTTGGATATTCAAAGTGTGCAATCATATTAATACTCAAACCCAAATCATTCCTTAGGAATTTTAAGAAGAAACATCTGAGACAAAGTTAATACTTAAATGAGGTCTCAATAGGAATTCATGATTAATTTTATAGCTCTTTAGATCAATAGATCGTATGTCTGATTTATTTCTCCTAAAAGGAATTTAGGAAGATCCTTTGGTTTAATATCAAAAGGTCTCAAATTTACCACCAAAGACACCAAAATCTGGAAAGACTGAGTATGAACACAAACATTTCTCAGCAAACTCTCCCAAATTATCAAATTACCAAATTATCTGAGCTGTTAAGGAGAAACATCTGACATAAAATTGACACTAAAGTGAGATCTCAATATGAAAATATTTCTCACCATATTTTTTCAAGACCGAATGATCTGAACTGTTTCATTCATTTTAATTTTATAGCTCTTTACTCTTACTGTATGTCACCTCAACAGTCGGATTTGTTTCTATTTTATTTCTCCTAAAAGGAATCTAAAGTGAAACATCATACAAAGTTGATACTTTAACTGACAACTCAATTAGGTTGTCTAAGCTTTTAAAGAGCAATTCAATTTTCTTCTTGATACAGTACTACTGTAATGTCAACCCATAAGAAAGGAAAGTCACAGACCTCCTTCAAATCTCAGTTGTTTCTGACAGACAGCTCCTTAGTAACAGGCCCCAAAATAATGTCATCCTCCATTTCAGAAAATATCTCACATCTCAAACGCCACTCAGATTCATCAAGACACCAAAATCTCAGTATGAACTCAAACATTTCTCTATTCATGTTCATTTTACAGCTCTTCACTCTTACTGTATGTCAACAATTGTCTCTTTTGTGACTGTTTTTATTTCTCCTAAACATTTAAATTTAACAAACAACTTCATTAGGTCTTCTGAGCTCATAGAGCACAAAAAAGTCCTTGAGTCAACACTACTGTAATGCCAAACCATGGTGACCAACAGAAATGCATTGTAAAGAAACATCACAAACCTCCTTAGAATCTCAGTTGTTTCTCCTAGAAATCTTTTAAATACCAGGCCACAATAATTTCATCTTCAGGAGTTTCAGAAGAGATCTCAAACATGTCTCAATATGTGCTACAGTTTGCCAAGACACCAAAGTCTGCAACAGTCTGCAACAAGTGTCAGAGATCTCAATATGAATGCAAAAATGTGTCATAAAATTCTTCCAAGACCAAATTATCTGAGCTGCTGTCCATGTTAATTTTACAACTCTTTACTATGTGTCAACAATTGTCACATTTGTGCCAAAATAAATTTTAGAAGACAACACCACTACTGCCATCCATACGAGGATGGTCTCAAACACACACACACACACACACACACACACACACAAAGTGACTATACCTAGAATATGGAGGAAAGGGAATGTGTGAGCATTATGATGATGAGAGTGTGCGTGATACCTAAATCTGTCTATTATTACCACTGCAAGATCATGTGACTCAATTCACGTGCCAGTTACAATTATATAGAGGGCGGAACATAAAATATGAGATATGATGTGAAAGATGGAGAGTGTCTAACCTTCTGCGG